TATATATATATATATATATAGGGAGAGAATGAATTAATTGTAGAAATAAAAAAAATCGAAATTACTTCGTTCCTCAATTAATGTAAAGGAGGTAATTTTACGAAGTAACAAAGGAAAATATATAAAAGTAATCATATGTACGAAAGCATATTTAAAAGAATGCTGTAAAGAAAAAAGTAAAATGGTGTATGATGCTCAAATTTTAAAGAGGGTAGTCTCAAAAGAACTCATCATGGAAAGTATTCTCTAAATGCAGAACAAGAATATTTACATATTTCTATGTTCTTGTTTTACAGCAAACATAAGCAGTAAATAGTACCTAAAGATTTTTTTAATAGAATTGAAAGTAAGCTTGTAAGAATCAGCGAGGTCTATTCTCTCTAACTCAGTTTTTTTCTATCCAACCAAATTGGTATTTTTAGATAGAACAATTCTTCTATATAAAACAAATGTTACTACTAACAAGTATTTAAATAGTTAGTGATATAGAAAATATATATATATGTGGTCAATATATTGACCCGATAATATTTTTTTGAATTATAGGCGCTTATTCCTGAATATATCGTTTGGTCATTAGAAGTTATTAGAAGATTTCTTCAGGGAAATGTTCTGAGAGGCTGCATGTCATTAAAGATAGGTACCTATTATTTATTACTAGATTATTGTCTGGTCTACATATCGAGTAATTAGGTTTAACGTTACATTCATTAAAGTGAATTAATGTAAATATTTGTTGGTCATCATTTTAAATTTTACTTAATGATTTGCTTACCTCTACTGCGTTCGGTTCCTTTAGTGAACCTAAGCGATCAATGAGGTCATACATCTATCTCGAGGAGAAGTTATCATGACAAGCTAATATATTTTCTTGAAATTTCCTTGTCTTTAAGAAATGCATTTTCCTAAAACAGCCTTATTTAAACAACAATTCGTCTCAAATTCAAGATGATAATTTGGAAAAGACATCAAATATGCTGACACCAGTAGTAAACCAGGGTAAAAATAAAACTAAGGTTGTTCTTGTCGTGTCCTCCCCGAAGAAAAGAAATGAAAGTTGCCAGAGCCTGAGACAGGACATCCACAATATTTAAGTATGGAACTGGAGGGGAGTAAAATATTTTCCAGCTCCCTGCAACCGTGGTTTCTGCTGTGACCACCGACATGACTTTCGGACCCACTGATTTAAAGAGTACGTACTCAGTGTGTACTCGGAGAATGTTTGGGGGTATCAGGCACAAAACCCGTCCTTCCGGTCAGAAGTCCGGTACTCTAACCTCTAGGTTACCCACCAAAGAAGAAAATTATTCACATATCCATCCAAAAATGTTCTGTACCAGTTCAACAACTCTAGTGAGATGTTATTTGATCAATCAATTACGAGTAATAACGACGTACCTCCAAAATGAGAGCTATTGGCAACGAACCTCATCATTCTTCGCCACAATCAAATAATACCTGGAGTTGTAACTCAGACTCCAGACTTCTACACCACCTGATGGCTTTGAGTCCCGATATATTTAAGAGGCATCAAACTCATTACATTATGAATGTTCAGTAGAAATAGAGCTCGATCCAACTACTGTACAGAAATATCACCAAACACGAGTTCGGAAATTGCAAAGTCAATGACCGCTAACACTTGTGCTGCTATGCAGAGCATTGTTAATAACAGTCAATAAAGCCACGAGTTCTAGATTACAAACATGGTTACAATAAGCAGTTAAAAAACATAAATATTGGATTTTGCGAAAATCACAAGTTCAAGCTAACACTTTTTTTTTATCTTGTTACAAACACTTTTTTCATTTTTAACCTATATTTACATTATAAAACGGTAAGAGGGATAAATTCCATAAAAAATATCACCAAATACATCTCCATTTGAAAAACAAAACGTAGTAAAAAAAAGGGTTAAAAAAGAAGAAAAATCTTGCTTACTATAAAATGTATCTGTTCATTGTATTTAGAAAAAAATAAAATTTCACAACATTTTTAGAGAATAGTTACAGTTATATCGGACCATACAAAAGGCATGGGAAAGAATTGATAATAGAATTTCTTTTATGTCACTTAAAAAGTTCTCTAAAATTTCATTGCAATAAAAGTATATTAACTCAGCTAGTTTTGAAAAAAAATCAGCAATATATTATGCTTTCTAGAACATTCCTTCTCTAAAAAAGGCACCATAGCAATGCTTTATTTAAAATGTTCTTCTTTTCTCAACAGTACTCTGTTCTGAAAACAGCATTTTTTAACATACTATTCATCGCAAAAAGGAAATAAAAATGGAAATAAATATCATCAAAAACATCGAATTCAAAAGTAAAACTGTGCAAAAGTAACAATAGGACAAAGAAGAAAAGTTCTGCATATTCTAAAATATATCCATCATTGTACTTAGTTAAAATATCTCTGCAACATTGCCAGTGAACTGTTAAGGAATGTATAAATATATATATATATATGTGTGTGTAGGATCACATACAAAAAGAGCTAAGGAGGGTAAGGAATGGAAAATTTGTTTTACCATTTTTAAAGTACGCTACAAGGTAAGAAAAATAAGTGAAAAAATAGTTTGAGGCTGTTGTAGCTCTAATTCCTCTTGCTTTTATAAAGTGCTTTTTCCTTTTCCAATAAAATCATCCTTTTTCTCCAAATGTAAGAAGCGAAATATTATGTACTAAATGCCAATATGAATGTATAATATTCATGATACATATTTTTCCGCTACTCATATTATCCTTTTTCTTGTATTTCTTTAAAAAAAGTTTTACTAGATCTATGTGATATAAATAATACTATCATAAACAAAACATACTATTAAACAAGTAATATATAAACCAAAATTCTTTTTAAGTCAATTCCTACTTAGGAATTCCTCCTTTATTTTAACTACTTCTTATTAAATAGTTACAATTAATATAATTATGTATATACATAGGACAGAATCACAACATTAAGTGGTAATTAATTTTTTTAGTTATCAGTAAAGTATCGTATTGTCATCCAAACCAATCGTGTATATAAAATTTCAGTTCAATTGAATGCTTTAAGACGTGAGAAAAAAAAAACCTTTTCAAGTTTTGACAAAAGTCTCCAAAAGTGTCGTTAAGTCGCCAAAAATGATGCCAAAGTGACTGTATTTGTAATTCTTTAAATAATTAATTTTAATCAATTAAGTTTTATTAATTATAATTAAATTACTGTATTGTCATCCAAAATAACCATGTATATAAAATTTCAGCTCAATTGATTGCTTTAAAATGTATTTTATTAACAATTGAAAATTCCACGAAGATAAATAAATAAATATATAGAGAATGTGAGCTAATAGT